TCCCTAAGCATCATCACAGCATACAAAATGTGATTTTCAACTGGTTTTCACAAAGTATACAGTTTTGTGACTACTACTGTAATCAAGATATTAAGCGCTTTTCACCGTATAAGGTTAAGGAAGATACTTAACTTCTCTAGTGTCCCGAGCTGCAGAATACAGGAGTGAGCTAGCTCATCTCAGCTCCTCCTAACTCTCGGGGCATTTGCTCTTGCTGTGTCTTCAGCAGCAAGGGGAGCCCTTTCTTGAGCTCTTCTCTTGGCATTTGTGGAGTTATTTGGCCCAGGTGGTGGGGCAAGGAGGTAGGTAAATTATTAATTAGCATGTGGTTTGGAAGACCCTTTTCCGAATGAGTGATTACCAACCATTAAGATCGCCAGTCTCTAGCAACAAAATCCTGGGAGACTGTGGCTTCTGGTGACTTAGGCTCAGGTTCTGACAAGTCCCAGTAAATCCACAGAGGATGATTGCCTCATCGCCTGCATCCAGGAAGTGCGCGCACATATGCCTCCGTGGTCTGTGTTCTTGTCCTGTAACTGTGGACAGGGTTGCCAGCAGCAGGGCTCAGAAAGGCAGGGCCATCAGGCAGGCTGTTGAGGGCATGTGGATTATAGAAACGCAGCCCAGAAAATACCCATGCATGGACGTCATTGGTGCTTACAGTTCAGCCCACCAAGTAGAGGAAGAAAGGGGGAAGTTTTGTATATGGTAGAAGTATGTATATTCTTTAGGATACCCTTGTCCAATCCTTATTTCCAATTCTATGAATGATCTAATAGTGAGTTATAAACTGGGACACATGAAAACTTTCAGGTAATCATAGTTATCTTCGTGATCTTTTATTTTCTTTCAGTTCTTTTTTCCACCTTAAACCATCAGTAATATAATTGTACTGGATTCCAGAAACTTCCAGAATATTATAGTCATACATTAAATATCAATGTAGATATAAAATGTATAAATAGTAGTTAAAAACCTCTTACCTTCTCCTTTTTTTAGAGAGACATTTTTGCTATAGGGCATGTATGCTCACCAGAGACATGGAGAGACAGAGAGGTAGAAAGTGAGAAATCACCCCCTCAGGGAATGGCCACACCGCAATCTCTTCATCCTCCTCTAGGGATTTTGGGCACATACGTGCACCGTACATGAGTTTCAAGCCTGCCGAGTCTGGGACCCAAAATGTGCTCAGCTGTGTGGGAGTCCAGTGACATAACCATTACACCATCTCCTGGTCCCTGATTTTCTCCTTTTAATGACTTGAAAATTATTCGTGTTTATCTTTATTTTGGCCTGATGCTTTTTTCACAAAATATAGATCTAGAGAAATATGCACAACAGATCCTTTGAGAAGAATGTCTTGTTGGGACAGGTGTTCATTTTCATGTTATGCCCCTCAGGTCATTGGCATTGGAGCAGGACAGCAGTCCCGGATACACTGTACACGCCTTGCAGGGGATAAGGCCAACTGTTGGTGGCTTAGACACCATCCACAGGTGCTTTCCATGAAGTTTAAAACGGGAGTGAAGAGAGCAGAAATCTCCAATGCCATCGATCAGTATGTGACTGGAACCATTGGTGAGGTAAAAAGCTTGTTACTGAGTTATAAGCAGATTGCTAATATATTTATTGCCCTTTTATGTGTAACAGACTTTTAACTTCACTGCAAGGAGGAAAAGGTATTTTTCTTTAGGTCCTATTTGTCTTAAATTGTTTATTGAAACCTCTTACCAGTTCCCCATTTTCTTCTGTCTCATTTAATTTTCTTCATTTTTTTAATCCCTTTTCGAAACCATAAACCTTCTGTTTTTTTGTATTTTTGTTTTAAGTTAAAGTTTAAGTTTAACCCTTTGGGTTGGTTTTGTATGTTTGTACCTCCCCTGTGACATATAAGCTTTTGATAACAGGGACTATTTCCCTTTATCTTGAGGTTATCTATGACAGTGTGAAGAATGATAATTGCTACACAGTAGTTGTGTATTTATTCAACATTGAATACAAATTACCTGACACCAGTGTTTTTTTTTTCTCCCATTGTATTTTTTTATAAGTGCCATTATCTCATTAGATTTTTGTTACATTTTATGTTTAAGGTCTTCTGTTTTGAAGAAGGTATGTGTAAGCATTAAAGTAGCAAATATCAGCCTGCCAAAAGAAAAGATTTTAGCCCAGTTTCTGGATGTAGCACCTGCTTAACAATATTGTGATTAGAAAACAGGTCTGGTAATCCAAAACTAGGTGGTCTTTGAAGGCACAGATTGACTAAATTGTTCATTCAGGAACAGGAACTATAATAAGATAGATACCACAGCCAAGTGAGGCTACCGAGTAACCTTCAGTACTTAAAACAGCTTTTCTTCTTACTTTAACAATTGGAGCATCCTGTTCGATATCACCCAGCTAACCCCTGCTAATATCCCATTCCAGGAAGTGTCTTTATCTCTGATCAAAAACAAAAGTAGGTTAAAATTAAAATGTCCCCCAAAATGGCAGCATGCATCTTAGTTGATTTGTGCTGTTATAACAGAATACTACAGACTAGGTAATTTATAAATTATAGAAATATACTTCTCACAGTTATGGAGGCTGGACGATCCAGGATCAAGGTGTTGGGAGGTTTAGTGTCTAGTGAGGTCTAATGTTTGCTTCCAAGATGTAGCCATGTTACTGCATCCTCTAGAGGAAACTAATGCTCCCCTCAAATTGCAGAAGGGACAGAAGGGGCAGATTTGCCCCCTCAATCCCACTCCCCTTTTTTATGATAGAGAGCACATGTTCACATGAAAGAGAGCAGCACCCTCTTCAGGTTTCGTCATGCCTACATTCCCACCCCCTCCTCAACCCTCCAACTCCTTAGAGTCCTGGACACCTGCAGGCACTCCTGGCATGTCTTAGCTGACCCAGGGATCCAAATGCATGGTCAGCCATCTGGATTCTGGCTATACAGGGCACTTGGGCTTCAGTTTTACCACAGGAGCTGGGCTCAAGCCCTTGTATGGGGCACTGAGGCTCTAATCTAATCATTTCCTAAAGGGCCCACTTCTTGATATTTTTGCATTGGGGATTAGGTTTCTTTCTTTCTTTCTTTTTTTGTAGAAGTTTTTGCCTTAGGGTACGTGTACTTGCAAAAAAGAGAGAAAGACAGACAGTGAGAGGTAAAGTGAGAAATCTCCTCGGGCAGATGGCCATGTCACAATTCCTTATCCTCCTGGGATTTTGGGCCTACACGCACTCATGCTCAGTGTGTTTCAAGCCACCAGGCCCAGTACTTGAACTGTAGTCAAACACATGGGAGTTCTGCCAGCCTGGTGGATTAAGTTTCAATGTGAATTTTGAAAGAGTCACAAACACTGAACCCATAGCAAATACTGAGTCATGTTTTAATTTGTCTACAACTGACTATACATGACACTAGTAGTTATGTAAGTGTAGTTCTAGAATACCTCATCGTCATATTTTTTCTAGATTGAATATGAAGGAAGATCCCTTTGAAAACGCTTTGGAATAGGATTTCCTATTTTCTTGCTCTGATACAGGAATATAAAATAACTTACAGATTTAAAAACAAAATATATTTGGAATATTCTGATTAAGAAAGTAAAATGTTACTGTTTCTATTTGGTAAACTTAAAGTCACTTTTCTTTTTTAAAGTATGGTTAAAAGCATCAAAGAGATTCTAGAAATATGAATTTGGATGTAAATAAGAGTGAGTATTTACAATATAGAAGCCTAGCAATAAATGTCTAAGTGCTCTCGTGTTGTGATTGGCCTCAGATGAAACTGAAGATGGTGTCGGACTAACCTTCCTTCCACTTCTCCACCCCCAGGATGAAGATTTGGTGAAGTGGAAGGCATTGTTTGAGGAAGTCCCTGAATTGTTGACTGAGGCAGAGAAGAAGGACTGGATTGACAGACTCTGCGAGGTTTCTGTGAGCTCTGATGCGTTCTTCCCGTTCAGGGATAACGTAGACAGAGCTAAGAGGGTAAGGGTGCACACTGTGTATTTGCATAAAATAGTTACATATTGACTCTTTCGGAAATCCTGCTTCTGATTTTTAAGTTTCTCTTAGTTAGATATTAGAATTATGGCAATAATAGATCAGTAATATTTAGAGAATTATTAGACTTTTCTACCTGATGCATGGATAACCCAAATTCTGTTATTTTGCCGTGTTGACTGAGTGGATCATTGTTCGTTTAGCTTTTATGAGGAGGAATTCTGCTCTTTGTAGACTTGTGCATATCACAGTGTTTTGAAAGTCCCTCTCTCTCTCTCTTTCAGAGTGGTGTGGCATACATTGCTGCTCCTTCCGGTTCTGCGGCGGACAAAGTAGTGATTGAGGCTTGCGATGAGCTGGGAATAACCCTCGCCCATACGAATCTTCGACTTTTCCACCACTGACTTTATGTTTATTCTTTGAAATATTTAACCACATCTCAGCTGAAACATTATTTTATGGTTTGCTTATTTGTAGGTGAATAATCACGTGTGAAATTTTGAAACAAAAAATCCTTTTTAAAAAATAAAAATTATCTCTAAATAATTGGATCCATAGTTTTTGGTCAGAGTATGTTATTTGTATTTAAGATACTCTTTAGGCTAGCACAGTACATGTAATCGTGCGAGTGTGTGAAATACAGTAGCATCCCACCACCACTACCACCGGAGCCTGGCTCCTCCCATGGCACTGACATTGCCTATGTGGAACACAAAATCTGCAAGTGAACCATAGAAACTGAAGACCAGAGTGGACAGCATGAGCACCTGATGGCTTCCACAGGGAATGTTCTTCTCATGCAAGGTTTCCTTTAATCACTCTGAAAAGGTTGGTTGTCTACTTTCTCTTCCCTTTTTTTGGAGAGGTTTTTTTATTATAGGGCATGCGCACTTGCCAGAAAGACAGAGACAGAGAGACAGAAAGCGAGAAATCAGCACCCAGAGGGATGGCCATGCCGCAATCGCTTCTCCTCTGTTCTCTCAGGATTTTGGGCACGCACACACACACACACACACATACCTGGCATGAGTTTAAGCCACTAGGTCCAGGACTTGAACCTTGGTTGACTACATGGGAGTCCAGCGACATAGCCATTATGCTAACTGCTGGTCCCGGTTGTCCACTTTCTAAACCAGCAGCAGATTGTCTCCTGTGAAGTGGAACATTTGACGGGATTAATAAATCCTTTTGACTCCTGCTGTAGGTAATAATAGCACTTACTTTTCCTCTGTGGTAAGCACAAGGTTTCCCTTATATTCAATGGCCTTTCACTTGCTTCTAGAACTGCATAAATGTGACTAGTGTTTGGTGTCCAGAAATGAACCCATATTCCAATTACGGGTTTACTACTCAAAGTGGGCATGGTGGGAGGGCAGTGCCTCGCTGCCATAGCAGGACAGAATTGTACGTCCATGTGTCTTGCACACGTGGTCTTGAGTGTTCACACAGGTAACACTTAAAATCAACGAAAACCTTTTGGTTCTGCTACCTTTTTCTAGATCATTTGATTTCTTTAATTGCCAGAGGGCACATGTGCCTTCTAGAGAGAGGTGGGAGGACCACCTCCCGCTCCTCAATGGGGCATAGTAATGCCACAGTTCCTTCACCATTTCTCTATCCTGTTGGGATTATGGACATGCATTCACCTGTGCCACATGTGTTTTTATTGACCTGTTGGGTCTTGGGGTTCAGACCTCAGCCATGTGGGATCTGTGTCCCTTAACTCCTAGGCTATGAAGCTGGCCCACTTTTGTTTATTTATTTATTTTTTTTAGAGAGAGATTTTTTGCTATAGGGCATGTGCACTCACCAGAGATATAGAGACAGAGAGATAAAAAGCAAGACATCACTCGCCAGGACAGATGGCCATGCCACAATCTCCATTCTCTTGGGATTTTGGGGCACGCACGTACACATGCCAGGCATGAGTTTTAAGTCACTGCATCTGGGACTTGAACTGCGGTCTACTATATGGGAGTCAAGCGACATAATCATTACACCATCTGTTGGTCCCAGCCCAGTGTTGGTTTTATAAAGGTTGTTTTGGCTGACCCAGGTTCTAGGCATTCTCATAAAGTTTAGAATCAATTAGACCATCTTTATTGGAATTTTGATTGGAATCAGATTAATACATAAATCAACCTATGGAAAACTGATGTATCCTCTTCTCCTTTGGGGGTTGCTTTCTTTTCTACCAGCTTATGGCTACTTTCAGTGCCTTCAAATTGACTTTTTTAGTACCTTGGTCCAGGATTCATAATTATTTCTGCAGGAAAGTTATTTTAATGCAATCTACTCTCATTAATAGAAACTCCAGTAAATATCCTAAAGGGATGGTTGTAACCATTCAGTTTCTTAAATACCTTTTTTTTTTTTCTAAGAGAGTTTCCACTGAATATTTGACCATTTTTATATTTCCAAAATTGTTGACATTTACTTTTTGTATTCTGAGTTTTTAGATGTTTGCTATTAAGCAAATTTTGGAACAGACATCCGATTACATAGTTAGATTCTGTGTACCCATCTTCCATGTATAGTGAGTAACTCACGGCCACTCGGGTTTTATTTATAATAATTTCCTCACTTTCCACTCCCTGATAATGATAATTTTAAAGCAAAGCGCAGGTTTGCTTCATCTTTAAAATATTTTTGTCTGTTAACATATACTGTTTTAAAAGCAGCTTGTTTATTCTTTGAAATATATAGCACACCTCAGCTGAGGTGGCCTAGGAGTGGCGGTACCTGGTAGCAATGAGCACATTAAGTACAAAGATCTTGGTTTCCAGCACCGTTCTCCAGTAAAAGGATGCAGGTACTTTAGGAGAAAGAGCTGACTCTGGGATTGGGGTAGGAAGTATATAGGATGAAATGCCTGGGGCATCTTGAAATGGCAGAAAGTAAGGAAGTGCTAAAACAATAAAACACAACAGCCCACATGATGGGTATGTCATAGGACGGAAGAGCCATCAGAAGAGCTGTCAGCGGCCAAGCCTGGAACAGTCTCAGCAACAAAACAATACAGCGTTGGATTAACCTGAAGTATAAAATAGGAATTCATGCTGGTGAACAAATCAATGGGGATTATACAAAGCTCTCATGCATTATCTAAGTGATTTACGGAGCTACTTCACCTTTACAGAGTATCTTTTTATTTTTTAAAAGAATTATTTTATTTAGCTTTATTTCAGTTTGATCATAGAGGGACAGAGTAAAAGGGAGAGAGAGGGAAACCAGAATACCCCTGCTGGCCCCAGACAGTAATTTTTTTTTTTTTTAGAGAGAGATTTGCTATAGGGCATGTGTGCTCGCTGGAGACAGACAGAAAAGGAGAAAGTGAGAAATCACTCTACAGGAGGGATAGCCACACTGCAACCTCTTCTCCCCTATTTTCCTCTCAGGATTTTGGGCACATGTGCACATGCACCTGGTGTGAGTTTCAAGCTGCGAGGTCCAAGACTTGAACCACGGTCGGCCATGTGGGAGCCCAGCATCTTAAAACACCACACCTGCTGGCCCCAGACAGTAATATTTAATATCACATATCCAGTCTCTGTTCAGAAGTCTCACAGTGCCTTTTTTTTTTTCTCAGTTTATTGGTATTAAGATCCTAGCCTGATACAGAATTTGATTGGTATTTCTAAAGTCTCTTCAGTCAATTGATTTCTCCTTTAAATGTTTTTTTTTTTGCAATGAATTTATTCAATGTACAATTCAGTGGTACTAAGTATATTCCCAGAGTTGTGCAGCCATCACTATCAAGTTCCATAACATTTCATCCCCCTAAAAAGGAGTCTTGTGGGCCAGCAGGTGGCACAGTAGTTAAGGTACTGGACTCCCATGTGGCCAACTGAGGTTTGAGTCCCAGACCCAGTGCCTTGAAACTTAAACTAGATGCATGTGTTGCATGCTCAAAATTCCAAGAGAAGAATGGGAGAAGGGATTACAGTGTGGCCATCCCCCTGGGGGGTGATTTCTCACTTTCTAAGTCGGTCTCTCCAGAAGTGCATGCGCCTTGTAGCAAAAATCTCTTTCCAAGAAAGAAAGAAAAAAAGAGAATCCTGTACCTGAAACCCACCACTCTGTCCTGGGCTACTGTTAATCTATTTCCAATCTACGGATTTCCTATTCTGGACATTGCATGTAGATACGACCCCATGATACATAACCTTTTGTATCTGGCTTCTTACACTGATCATAACAGTTTTGAAGCTTTGTTTATGTTGCAGCGTGTATCAGTACTTCATTTTTCTATCATCAAATACTGTTCTATCACATAAATATACCACATTTCCCCTGTCCATGTATCAGCTCACGAGGGGGATTGTTCCCACTCTTTGGCTATTATGAATATTGTTACTATAAACATTTGTGTACAAGTTTTGGCCTGGGCATATGTTTTCATCTCTCTCGGGTTTGTACCTAGGAGTGGATTTATGAGATCAGATGGTAACTATTTGGAAGTCTTCAGAAAGTTCATGGAAAATGCATATTACGAAAACATGGCACATATTTTGGGATATTTTGCACCAAATTAAACTTGTACTGTCCACTTTTTCATGAACATTTTGAAGTCTTCACGTACGTGTAACTTTCGAGCCATCAGACTTTTCCACAGCAGCCACGCCCGTTTACACTTCCACCAGCAGCGTATGGGGTGGGGTTCCCATCCTTCTGACAAAGTGGCAAAAACAGCTTTTCAGGGCTTGGCTCAATATCTTACATCTTATTTAGCTCATGGTTTTGGAGGTCCAAGGTGAAGGGGCCACACTTGGTGAGAGTCTTGTTGGTGAGCACCTTACAGAGTCCTGAGGAAGCACAGGGCATTACATGACGAGGTAATCCGTGTCTCTGTCCATGTCTGCTCTCCTCCCTCGTATGTATGTGTGTGTGTTATAAACCAAAGGGCATGTGCACTCACCAAAGAGAGAGGGAGAGGGATAAAGCACCCCTCAGTGGAGCATGGTCACACTGCAATTCCTTCTCCATCCTTCTGGGATATTGGGCATTTACGTACATACACCCGAGACTTCTCAATCTCCTGGGGCTGACTCAAACCATGTGATCAGCCATGTGGAATATAACTCTCCCAACCACCAGGCCCCAGTACTGGTCTTTTCTCTCTTTTTTTTTTTTTTTGGAGAGGTTTTTGCTATAGGGCACGTACGCTCACCAGACAGAGAGGCAGACAGAAAGCGAGAAATCACCCCCCAGGGGGGATGGCCATGCCACAATCCCTTCTCCTCCATTCTCCTCTCAGGATCTTGGGCACGCACGCACACGCGCCCGGCCTGAGTTTAAGCCACCGGGTCCGGGACTCGAACTGTGGTCGACTATGTGGGAGTCCAGCGACATAGCCATTACGCTAACTGCTGGCCCCCCTTTTTTTCTTTTTTTAAATTCAAATACCAGGATTCAATCAGGAGCCCTACCCTGATGACCTTATCTAATTCTATTCACCTCCTAAAGGCTCCACCTCTTAGTATCATGGTGGGGTTAAGTCTCACTGCCTTAACTCTCCTAGTAGGAACCTAATCTTAATACAT